TCACAAGTTTTTGCCATGGATATTTTGTGGGTCAGAAGATAAAAAGTTTGGGACCCACTGCTTTAACTTACATTTTAAGGGCTTTCTTCTGCTAATTTCATTTTACCATCATCCTTATTTCTACATGCATCATCATCATGCGCTGTGCAGCATCACGTCTGAGGAAAAAAAAACGCCAAAATAATAATAAAAATGTTACTTTAAGAACACCTCCAACTCTCAGTAAATAAGTAAATATCATTTTAAAGCACTTGCATCTCTCTGAGGGTACTTCGGTTAAGAAAAACAAACTTTATCTCAGGACAAACTAGAGTTTGCTATTTTGGCTAAAACATGAAAACAACTATTCTGCAGAATCTCGGTGTGACTTATTAAATCTAAAATTACTTTCAACGTCCGCATACGTCACCTCTGAGAGACAATTTGTGTTTAAATAACTGCAAATATGTGTGGTCATACAGCAGTTTTGAGAACATAGTTTTTAATAACAAACTTTCCGGCGTTGTGTGAAATTAACGTTAGCGCCAAGGAGGTGACCTAAGTAAGCAGAGAGGARTGTACCTTAAGCGTCGGCTCTCTCACATGCTCCCCGGAGTGTTGGTCATTTTCCCACAGACCTCGTTAACAAACTTCTTTTGAGTTTAGTGTGCGAGGATGCGTAGCTTTCAGCTAGCTTCGACACCTGTCAAACAATGGCGAAGCCAACTACGGCAAGCCCGAAGGTCCGCACGTGCTTTCCGATTACGTCAAATGTTGTTTTGAACGGTCTGTCAAAATAAAAGCATGAGAACTGCAAGCGGCTCTGGCGACGATCGTTTTCAAAATGTTCTTAAACAAAATAAAAATATTATTAATTGAGACAGAGCAGGAAAATTGTACTAAAAATACTAGGATTTAATGAAATTTTGTGTTGACATGGCAGAATTATGTCTACATCTGAAGCAGAAGCTCTTTTCAGTATGATCTTTTATAGCAGAACAGAAATCATGAGTAAAACTTAGCTTGAAACTAAGTATGAAAAACTTCAAAGTTTGGTTGTATTAGAATTGATTATACTTTTACTTTTAGGTGGGTTTATATATAAATAGATATACTAGTTTAAATGTTTTGTCAGGTTTCAATTTTACCTTTTTCTTTCATTTTGTATTTATTGTATTGCATTTTAAGTAGCCTAAACAAAAGATATTAGTCTCACATAAGCTCTCAGAAATTCCATTTGAGGTATTGATAAATTCAACTTTTATCCATGTCCTGTTTAACATGAAAGATGCTGGACTGTGCTGAGTTCTTTACACAAATATGTACTTTATTAAATCTCTAAAATACAGACTTTTTATCTTTTCTATTAATTTGATCTTTAAAAGAAGATGAATTTTGACCATGGGATGCATTTCTAAGTATTTTTTTCTTGAAGTGCCATTATTCCTGTGCGGCTCTGTGGATCCACTCTAAATTCTAATTAAAACCAATATTATGTGGATATATTTTATGTAATTTAAAATTGCAGAAGTCCTTTACTCGTTTAGATTTTCTCTAAAAGAAGTATAAGCAGCCTGCTGGTCTTCTATTTTACACTGAAGGGTCATGGAGGTCAGTGTGCGCAAATAATGGAACTAAACATARAGAGCTGACACAATTTAGAAATATTGTAAGGGCTGTTCTTGTTTGTTTTATATCAATAAGTCAGAAAAAATGCAACATTTTGTACTACATATTTACATTTTGTTAAGTAGGATTAAAAAGTTGTGGTCACAAGTTCTGTTAATGTAACTAAGAAAGCTGTGCAATGAAGGTCCTAAAAAATCTTTATGCATTTTTCTTTGATAGTTTCAACAGGATTTTGACCTTCAGAAGTTTCAGTAAATCTAAAGGGAAATGTTTAACCCAGTCACTTCCCTTCTTTGTAAGTACACACTTTGGGTTGAGAGAACTTTGCTGTTACAAAAGCTTTTAATTTATGTGAAACTTTTGGGTCATCCAGTGCACAGCTCTTTTTAGCTTTAAACACATAATATCAATGATGACGTTGTTAGGGCTGCAGGTTATGGTCCATTATGGATTCTGTATGTTGTTGATGGTTATTTTACTGCAGAGAAGGTAAATGGAATGTATAATGGGAGAAAATGACAAAGTTATGGCCATTTTGGTTACACTAATAATCTCATTCACTACTGCAATAAGTTGCAAGATATGTGATAAATCATTAATAATTAATGTGCAGGAAATTACTTTATGGGACTTTATTATGCTGTTTTTTTATATATAATTGTCCTGATTTAATCATAAAAAGCACCAAAACAACTGATGTGTCATTTTTAAACCCCTAAACAGGAATAATTTTTATTATTTTACAGACTTGTGTTTACCTAATTTCTGGATTTCCTACTACAGTTAATGCTTTAAGGGTTGTTTGAGAAAGAGGGACTTGTTTATATTCAGTGAATGTTCAGTAGGAGGATTAACATATGTGTCACCATGCATTTTCTCCTACATCATTAAGTGTTTTAGACCATTTACCACCAATTACTCCCTTGGTAATGTTTTTTTTTTTCAACTACCCTTTCCTCCAGGCTGAATCTGATATTTGACATGTTTTGTTGGCTTATACAAATTTACCTTGCTTGATTTSTTCACACTATATTGGCCTTACCTGATAATGACTATATACTCTAAAAGCTCGTCTGTCTCCTCCGTGAGTCTTGACATAACTCCAGCTCTTGATGTCATGTGTGTTCACGTTGAAAGGGTGCATCTAGAGCAGTGCGAACACTGATGAGAAGTCTGTTAATTCTTAATGAGCCATTATTGTTCTCAAGTGAGTAGTGGTCCCCAGTTAACCTATACCTGGATCTCAGCAAGTTGGTTTGACTAGACACCCACAGCTAATAAATGATGAGCTATTGCACATATTTCCAAAAAAATCGTTTTTTCTTTAAAAATCATAAAACTGCTTGTCCTTCTTATTATGTTAGTGAAAATATACCTTGTGACCCATCACATCAAAATGAGGATTAAGTCCAAAAGTGGTATATGGAGAAATAGGCAAATGTAGTGTTTTGATTAAAATGTTAACAAAAATTGCACCTTGTCAAAATATAATGAATAAAAGCCTTATCAATGTATCATATGAATGAACTGTCTGAAATATAATCATAAAACGAAATTTTGAAGCACCTTTTTTAACAAAAAAAAACTGATTTTGAGTAAAAACACCTTAAAATTTTGAGATTTTTCCCTGTGAGCTAGCAACATTTTGTTTCTTTTTACCTGGGAAATCTCAATATTCCAATATAATTTGTGGTTTCCTCTTTATAAGGACATCAAAAGTTCTTCATTAAAATGACATAAAATTAGGATTCAGACCAAACATTTATGTATTATTGTAACCAACAAGACAAATTAAGTCATATATATGGATTTTATTATGATATCAGAATGATCCAGGTATCAAAATGTAGCTTTTAAAGCCAAGAATATGAAAATGTAATTAGGTCATTTTGACCAAATTCGACTTAATCCTCATTTCGATATGATGGCTCACATTTGTGAAGGCATCATTAATGCTGAAAGGTACAAACAGGTTTTGGAGCAACATAAGCTGTCATCCAGGCCATGTATTTTTCAAGACAATATTCTGCACATGTTAAAACTGTGTGGCTTTGTAATAAGAGTGTGAGTACTAGACTACCGTTCCTGCAGTCCAGACGTGTCTCCCGTTGAAAATGTGTGGAGCATTATAACACGTAAAATGTGACAACAGAAACCCCTGGAATGTTGAGCAACTGAAGTTTTCATCAAGAAAGAATCCACAAAGCTTCAACAATTAGTGTCCTCATGCAGTTATGCTTATTGAGCATGGTTCAAAGGAAAGGTGATGTAACACAGAGGTAAACATGACCCTGTCGTAGCTTTTTTAAAATGTGTTGCAGCATCAAATTCAAAATTCGCGAACATTTGTAAAAAAATTATCAAGTTTATTCATTTGAACATTAAATATGTTGT